CTGAAGATGCACACACCTTGTGTTCCAACACGGATTGCCAAAACATGTATTACTTGGAATAAGAAGCTTGTGGAAGGTTCGGCTAAAGTCACACCAACGTGTCTCATGCAATGGAGCAGTGGTTGACTGTTATCTTAACAGTCCTCCCTGCACGTACTGGCTTTGCAGACAATGCATTTGGTCCGAGATGCTAGCACTCAAGATTTCCATGAGTTTCAAAACCGGCACATAGAAATGAAACCCGGGAGTCCTAAAATTCCACTCCAAAATACATGTATACGCACACAAAAATGATGACGTCCACGCAGGTAATAACTCTCACACTGTGAAGTCTTTGTTTCCAGCCGGTATGTGTGAATATCATGCCTGCCTGCAGGAAGGAAACGCTGATAAGGGGACATTCTTTACGTTCGCCGCTGCACACAATGTCCCGCATGCAATCCATGCATAGAATCGGGCATCTGTGTGGGTGCACAGATCCGCGGTGCCACTAGTCTTGCTACTGATACTTTCATAGAAGCTATTACGTCGCCTTCGCGTACACAATTGGTACTTTCTGCGTTCCCTAATCGAATCCTCCGATCTTCAGGAGAGTGCTCTTTCTAATGCGGACTCCGGCCCGTGCTTCACCGCACAAGAAACGCGTGTTGAAGGATGCTGGAACCATCGACTCCTCGCACTTTGTGCATGGTGGAAAACCATTCAAGGCAAACCACTTTAACAAGTTTCTCTTCCAAGTCCTAGCTGGTACTGCAGGGGGGAATTATGACTTCTAAAATCAAGTAGAATACATGTGTATGCCACACCATTAATATTTTGTGTGACGACTTCATCTCTAACTCCAAAAGCTTGTATGTATCACAGTTGTTTGGTATAAAAGCCACCACGTTCGGCACTGCTCAGAACAGTTCTCCTTGCCAGCTTCACTTGTCAACGCTTTTGACTACACGACGGAGAACAGGTTCGAGGCCGATTTTCTGGATGTGAGGGTGGACCCGTTCGATCCTTTTTAACATTGAAGTCCAAAAGGCTCCGGAAGAGACAGATGAGCAGGAACAAGAGGACGGCGGGGGAGGAACAGAAGGGGAGGGGGGAGTAATGTGCCACCCCCAGGTTCTGCTACGAGACCACGGCCTATTTCCTGAAACCACGAAAATGAAGTATGGTCTAAAAGGTAAAACGTAGTCCACCAGCAAGACTAGGATGGCAAGGCCTCCGGGAAGGCGACATCATGGACCGGAGACGCAGGAAAAGTCTCTACAAGTAAACCCACTCCAGAGCACGCCAGATTCACCCCCGAATCCGACCGCTCTGAATCCGACGCCTCTGCATCCGACACTTCTGAATTGGACTGCTCAGATGTGGCGAACGATTCCGACTCTTCAGATGTTGGCAATGAGTCAGTCGAGACTTTGGAGTGGAATACAAGAAGTCCGGCAGCTCCCACGCAGAAGACGGTGCATAGTCGTCCGACGGTGGAAAGGGCGGACGATTTATCAACGGCTGACTTGTTAATGTTAAGGGACTAAGTGCCCAACAGCTAATGACGTCCGGGGAAAAGACGGACACTACAGTCGCTGGGACTGATTGATGATCAGTATTTCAGACTTGGAGGTGTATAACAAGTCAGTTCAGCCAATTCAAAGGAGCTGTGTAGTTCCATTATACACTCTTCTGTTGTGAATGTCGTTAGTCTAGGTTTCATATCAAGCGAGAATCTCTAGCCAGCTCATTAGCATTAAAAGTGCCCCCACAGTATCTTTTGCAAATGGAGATCAGAGATTGTTTGGCCCCTCACATTTGTATTTGTGTGGGGATGTTGGCATGTACGTTAATGAGGCCCTAAACAAGGCTGATTTTACAGTTTTCAATGGGCTTGAATGAATTAGTGGACTGGACCCATATCTGGGTTTCTTATGGAATCCTGGTGGTCCTTTCCTCATTTTGTTCCGTCGCTAGTTTGAATTTTTCTGCGAGCTTTTCCCGTTATTTCCACGAGTTAATACGGCCACAGCCTAGGATGCACAGGTTGATTAGCGTACATGCATTTACGCCTTTCCGTGTTCAACGATCCATTCTGCCTTTCCATCGTCATCTTACATGTTTATTGGTCTGATAGTACTCAAGATTTCCACGAGTGGCATAAAATGTAACCCGAAAGTCCGCTCCAATCAGAAATATACGCGCACAAAAACTGCTCCGCGTAAATTTTGTCCATGACGAGAATACACATACTGTGGAGTCTTTCTGTTTCCAGCGGGTACACGTGTGTATCATACCTGCCCGCAGGAAGGAAACACAGATATGGGGGCATTCTTCACGTTGACTACTGAGCACAGTAGTATCTTGTGTGTAAATCCATGCACAGAGTGCGTGTCCGTGTGGGTGCGAAGATCCGCGATATGACTATACTTGCTGTGATGCAGTCACGTTGCCTCCGCGTACACAAGGAGCCCCTTCTGCGCTCCCACTTCGGCTGTGTTCCACCGCAAAAGACACGCATTTTTAAGGATGTGGAACCCACCACTTTATGTAGTTTTTGCTCCTAATCCCTGCTGGTACTATACTACAACTTCTAAAAACACGTGGAATCCACACCAATGTGTGCGATGATGTCATCACCTCTTGCTCCAAAAGCGTACACATGTATTACAGTTGTGGGTTATATAAGCACGGTCTGCACTGCTCAGTAGGTTCTCTTGCTGCTCCACCAGTCAGATAAAGAAGCTTTGGGATAAACCAATGGAGGGAAACGGGCTCGAGGGCGATTTTCTGCAGGTGAGGGTTGACCCATTCGATCCTTTGTACCTCGAAGTCCAAAATACTGAGGAAGAGATAGGTGACAAGGAACACGAGGACATTGGAGCCGATCAGCTGGACGTGATGGTTGACCCGTTCGATCCTCTTTACAAAGAAGTCCAAAAGGCTCCGGAAGAAAAGAAGAAACGCGAGGACAGCGAGCAGGAACAGAATGGGAGTGATGTGTCACTCCCAGGTCTTGCTACAAGACCACAGCCCAAAGTTCCTGAAACCACGAAAATGAGGCATGATCTGGAAGGTAAGGCAGTCCACCAGCAAGAATTGGCCCGCGAAGCCTCAGAGAAGGCGCTATTGTGTACCGGAGACGTTTGCAAAGTCTCTGCAAGTCGACCCCCGGCTAAGCGCGCCAGATTCACCCCCGAATCCGACGCCTCTGCATCCGACGCCTCTGAAACTGATAGCTCAGATGTGGCGAACGATTCCGACTCTTCAGACGTGGGCAATGGACCACGCGAGCCTTAAGAGGTTCATATGAAAGACAAACCCGTACCCTCACGCGCAGAAGACAGGTCCGAGTTGTTCGACAGTGGAAAGGGCGGACGATTGACTGGCTTGCTTACTGATAGGGGACAGGGGGCTAACAGCTATTGAAATCCTGAGAAAAGATGGACATTACACTGTAGCTGGCATTGATGTTCAGTGTGTTAGACTTGGAGGGTATACATGTAAAAAAAACCAGGTCCGTTCAGCCCATTAAAAGGAGCTGTGTAGTTCCATTTTACACTCTTCAGTTGTGAATGTTGTTGGCTTGTTTCATTTTGGGGTGTCGTATAGATTCTCGAGGGTCCGTTCCTTGCTCTGTTTCTCATCACTGGTTTGAATATGTAGCGCGCTTTTCCACCTTTCCCTGCTATTTCCGCGACTATGACTGAGCCATGATTTTCGATAAGGCATTGTTTAGGATGCACGAGTACGTTTTCGCGTTTCCAACCGCTGCACACGCTTCATGTAGCGTGCACTGCCAAAGTTGCAGGACATGGTAAAAATCGTCGTTTCAGGGCGGTTTCATACACAACTCATGCAAGCAAGCCCTTGATGGTGAACGCGCTTAACAGGATACGTAGAGTCATCGCATTTTGTTGCGATTGCTATCAGCGACTACAACGAAGCAATCTGCCTTTTTCCACCGCCGTCGATGGATCCAATTCCAAGAAGATCGCTCGGAACGACGTTTCCTCTGCCGCTCACAACTTTCTTGGAAGAAATTTCTATCTGCGTGTAATCGCTACGGACAGAGAACATTCGCAGTGGATGTCTGACCTGCCTCGGCAGAAACACGGAATGGGGGTGATGATTGAATCTGCTGTTACATACTCTGCCGTGCTTTGGGGGAATCGATCTTTCAAGGGAGCTCCACTTCAGATGCGTGGGGTCGCGCGCCGTGCAGTGCGGAAACATCCGTGCAGAAAAATCAGATACACTCACAAAAATACACGACAACGTGACGTACCCAAACGCTAAGAAATGGGTCTCGTTGGTGGTTTCCTGGCCAAGGTGAAACATTGTGGATCAATCAAGTACGACGTAACATGGCCCACTACGCTATTTGAATCGAGTTGTCACGCCGTCGGAAAATGTCACCTCCCGTTAAAAAATCGCCGTATCACGCCTTCTTCTACCAGTTCAGCTATGCACAAAATCAGATCAGAGATCACCTACAAAATCGCCCGTTTTCGTGGTTGCTTTAGGCCCTGCCAGCATGTCCACGTGTTTGTGCTGGTGGACAGAATCATGTTATAGGGGTTATCAAAATGGTAAATGCTGCTTTGTTTCCGAGTGTAGCGTCAACGAAGCCAGAGGATCTACTAGATTGGCCTAATCCCTAATGTGACTAATCCCGATTGTCGGGAAGCATGAAAGGATAAAGGCAGTTTCGGTGCCTAAGTTCTCGTGAAAGTTCGGATCCCGCTATGCCTTATGCATACACTTTTCACGTAGTTCGCCATGAGCAGGGAAACGCAGGCACTACTCGCCTAAATTGGGGGCTTAACCAAGACTCCCCGTGATAAGGTGTTTCCAAATGCCTTATATCTGTTTTCTGGAAGTACAAGTATGCAAATCTCATTCATGATGTCTTGTTATATTAATTAGCTGAGTCTCTGCGTCTAGTCACTGTTTGCAGGGTGGGAGGTAAACAGTTGAACTGTGAACAAATGTGGTGTCGGGGAAAACGAACTGCATGAACTTTTCGACCGCTGTATTCTATTAGAAAATGTAATGACTTGTTTTTAAACAGTTCAACCGAGGAAATTCTTAATCAACCGATTTCGAAATATTAGAAGGACCAGCAATGGGATTTTCAATAATGTGCCTCCTTTGTGACTTTTTCCAGCATCGTTTGGGTGCATAAGTGTAAATTCTCTCCAACAGTATGACATCGTCACAGGAAAATCTACTCCGGGTTTGCCCTTCAGTCCACTCTTGTGAGTGAAATATTTGGTGACATGTCACCGAAATGTCAGTGTATATTTACCTCTATTCTTTCACCTCCACAGTACCAAACAACTACAGGTAACATTGTTGGAATGCATTGCATAACACCTGGCGCCATTCTACGGCTCTAGCCCCCCCTAAAAAAATACAAATAAAACTAACAGCAGTAGCACAATTTAACAGGTGACGTCACGTGCGATGAGTCTTGCCCCCAGAAAACTTGGCTCTAGAACCGCGCCTGCAAAGCACACTGATGTTTAACAACTTTCCGGCACGAGCACCAGGCAAAATTTCCCTCCCCTGAATATTGCACATTCACATACCAATGGTACTGTTGTCAGGAGTGCTGTCAATCAATACAAGCTTCTCCATCATAGCGCATACTGCAGACAAGTACATTTGTAACCCTTTCCAGAGCTTAAAGCATAAAGCTTGATTTTAAAATGGTAAACTTAAGCATTTATCAAGGTGTACGAGAAACCAGCTAGTTTGAGTGAACTTGTTCTTCACACAGTCTCCAGGCATTCTTCTCATGCCGCCGTCCTAAAGACATACCTTGGGAACATTTCAATCATTTTTTATTCAATGTCCCCTTTTTTCAACCTACTCTTCCACGACCAAGAATTGAAAATAGAAGGTCATCAAGTGATGGCAGTGAGATTAAGAGAAATCTTACAGGACTGACCAACAGCAGAGTGCATTCCAGCAATTGTGCAGATCCACCAATTGCACCCATTAACAGCATCTCAAACAATGACTCCTGAAATACTGCACTCAATAATTTGATGCATGTACATCTTGATAAACTAATAAATATTCTGCCTAGAACAAAATATAAATGGATTCGTATTATGAACAAGGCAGTCGTCATAATTACACTGGCAAGTCTACCAGATGGGTACAAACATGTAGTACACTGAATAAAAAAGTTTGTAAAATGCCGAGCCAATCTGACCAACTTTGACATCGAGCAATTTTCAACAGGGGTCCATTTGTGATGTATGTTTGACCAGTGTGCTGATGCCAGAGTGCATGTGCCTCATAGACAAAGCAATCAACTCTTGACTGGCTCCCTGCAATAGTGCTATGCATAGTGATGCACATGGCTACCAACCTTCCAAGGGTACCACCTTCAGCAGGCGATTCAGTAGTCACACTGAAAATAGTTGGAATAGAATAGTCAATAAGACTAGCCCCTTTACTTCCAACAAACACAATCACAGCACAGGAAAACTATGGTCAACGATAGTTTTCAATTAAACTGGTTTGGTATAGCCAAAGCACATGACAGTTGTTGTCGTGGCAATGGATATTCTACCGTACATGACTGATGAAGCAACCAGTTATCAACTCCTCAGAGGTCAAAGTTCATCATGGCAGCTTATGGCACTGCACTGAGCCCCAAGTTATACTTCATTGGCAGAAGACCCTCAGAAAAAGTTCCTGGCAACGAGGGTGAATATCTTAGCCCAGAGAGGGACTCGGCGTTCCTGCCTCCTGAATGTTGATGAGGTGATGACCTCTGACTGATTAAAGAAGTCTTGTCGCTCCTACGATGAAAAATGAGGAGAACTGGCACACATTCTGTAGCAATGACTATTACAGATGAAAACCATTTCTGTTCAAATTTAAAGGTTTTTGAATTTGATTTACATGTCTCTGTGTTCTTTTTCAATTGATAAACAGATTGCAAGAGAGATTTGTAAAGGGGTAAATCTAGAAATCAGGGGTCCAAAAGTGTGACATTTCGCTGTGTTACATCCGACCTTTGTTATTTGACATGGAAATATCACCGGAATTGATTTCAATTATTACTATTTGTTTGGCAGGTAATATGCATTAATTCATCACTCTTGGAAATTACAAAATGTGTTCTGAACTTACAAAATCATATGTCAGGTCAGGGCAGGGCACGTCATGACAGGGGCATGAAAAAAAA